CTTAAAGCTCAACATTCAGAAAACTAAGATCATAGCATCTGGTTCCATCACTTCATGGCAGATAGATGGGGAAACTGGAAACAGTGGCTGACTTTATTTTTTTTGGCTCCAACATCACTGTAGATGCTGATTACAGCCATGAAATTAAAAGATGCTTACTCTTTGGGAGGAAAGTTATGACCAACCTAGACAGCATATTAAAAAGCAGAGACATTACTTTGCCAACAAAGGTCCATCTAGTCAAGGCTATGGTTTTTCCAGTAGTCATGTATGGATGTGAAAGTTGGACTATAAAGAAAGCTGAGCACCAAAGAATTGATGCTTTTGAATTGTGGTGTTGGAGAAGACTCTTGAGAGTCCCTTGGACTGCAAGGAGATCCAACCAGTCCATCCTAAAGGAGATCAGTCCTGAATCTTGATTGGAAGGATTGATGTTGAAGCTGAAACTCCCAATACTTTGGCCACCTGATGCAAAGAGCTGACTCATTGAAAAAGACCCTGATGCTGGGAAAGGTTGAGGGCAGGAGGAGAAGGGGATGACAGAGGATGAGATGGCTGGATGGCATCACCGACACAATGGATATGAATTTGGGTAAACTCTGGGTGTTGCTGATGGACAGGGAGGCCTGGCGTGCTGCGGTTCATGGGGTTGCAGAGTCGGACACGACTGAGCAGCTGAACTGAACTGAACATGACGGTGACTATGACTTAAAAATATTTGTTTATGTATTTATTTATAGTCGTGCTGAGTCTTCTTTGCGGGGGTTTTCTCTAGTTCTGTTGAGCGGGGGCTACTCTCTAGTTGTGGTATGTGGGTATCTCATTGTGGTGGTTTCTCTCGTTGTAGAGTATACGCTCTAGGGTGCACAGGCTTAGTAGTTGCAGCCTGTGGGCCCTAGAGTGCATGGGCTTCAGTAGTTGTGTTGCATGGACTTAGTTGCCTCAAGGCATGTGGGATCTTCCCAGACCAGGGATCGACCAATGTCCTCTGCTTTGGCAGGCGGATTCTTAACCACTAGACCACCTGGGAAGTCCCTGAATATAACTTTATGAGTTAGTGTTTTCTGCCTGTGCTTTTTTGTTCATGTGGTTAGTTGGCCACTTACTTTTTTATTTCCAAGTTGCTTTAGATGTCTACTGTTTCTGTAGGCTGGACAGCTCTTCAGGGAGGGGATTTTTGTTGTTTCTATCTAGGTTAGTTGGCTATATAGTAGATGCCAAATGTCTCTTTGTTGTTGTTGTTCAGTGGCTCAGTCTTGTCTGACTCTTTGTGACCCCATGGACTGCAGCACACCAGGCTTCCCTGTCCTTCACCATTTCCTGGAGCTTGCTCAAACTCGTGTCCATTGAGTCAGTGATGCCATTTAACTATCTCATCCTCTTTCATCCCCTTCTCCTCCTGCCTTCAGTCTTTCCCAGCATCAAGGTCTTTTCCAGTGAGTTGACTCTTCGCATCAGGTGGCCAGAGTATTGGAGCTTCAGCATCAGTCCTTCCAATGAATGTCTCTTAGGTTGGGTTATTCTTTAGATTAATATCTCAACTAAGATATTTTACAACTTTAAAATTGTAAAGATTCTGTGATTCTGCATATTTCACATTGGCCTAATTTTTGTAGTTTAAATGACAAATTATTTTCTTTAATACTGAAGAGCTCTTTTGGCATCATAGCTTGTTTGGCATTGAACACTTTTTTTTCTTATATGTAATTTGTTTAAATTCAAAGTTATTTGTCTAGGAAAGGGAAAAGTTCACATTTTGAAACTCTAAAAATAACATACTGGGTAGATGATGCCAAAACAGTGGTTTTAATCAGAAAACCATTTCTCAATCCAGCATCTAAATGAGAACTAATTACTGAATCTTTTCATAGTTACTAGACTTTCACTGTTTTAAGGCAATTAACAGCAGTATTGAGAAACCTAAGTAATGAAATATTTTTAAAACTTCTATTTTTTTCAGATTTCTAATGCATTGTGATGATCAAATGTTCCTTATGTACCCCTGATGTAATGTGAATGATCATATCTTATAATAGCTTTAAAGTTTTAATGAAGAGTATCATTTCATTCTCTTAGTAGATAGATAAATTCATCCAAAGTAGACCCCGTTGATCATGCATTATTCTATTAAGATTATTTTTTTAAATAATGCTCTTAATTTGCTATGGAATTTACTAAATTTGCTGAGATAAATTTCCTAAGATAGTTTTCTGTATAGTTCTATGGAGAAGTACAAGATTGACTTAAGTCTGTTGAAGAAACTATCTTGTATCTATAAAAGTGGTTTTTCAAACTTGAGATGCAGATATGGGGTGAGAAAATTTTAGGAAACTTGACTTAGCATGTACGCATGCATGTTGATCTGTCCAGCAGGGCTTATGGTATTAAGTTCAAAAGCATTTTGATTCTTGATTCTTTTCTCCTTATTTTGGGACATCTTCTGATTCTATCATATGTAAGATATTTAATAATATAATTGATCAGCATGTTAGCATAATTTTTGATCCCTTTGGTAACTTAATAATAAGATTTGTGTGTATGTATGTGTTAGTCACTTAGTCATGTCCGACACTTTGCTACCCCATGGACTATAGCCCACCAGGCTCCTTTGTCCATGGAATTCTCCAGGCAAGAATACCTCCAGACAAGTGGGTTGTCATTCCCTTCTCCAGGGAATCTTCCCCACCCAAGAATTGAACCTGGGTCTCCAGCATTGCAGGCAGATTCTTTATTGTCTGAGCCACCAGGGAAATCTCCAAGGTCATTTATGTTCTAAATATAAACTGTTAAATAATTTAATGCTTATTTTTTCAACAGATGTGAATTATTAAAAAGAAAATGGCCCAACGGAGCACTGTATTTCCTTCTCTTGTCACCGAGGAAAGGTATAATATATGGAAAATATGCATCTAAGGTATACTTTTTCTTTCCACCAATTCCATGAGGGCTGCTAGTGGGCGTGATGGTCATTATAAAAGAAGCCTTGCAGCTTCTTTTAGATCCAAGAATGACTTTTCTTAAGGGCAAGAGTAGTACTGTTGTGTCCCCTCTCTAGCTTCTGACTTGTAGGACACTGTGGACCTTTCAGTGATTGTAACCGGTGCAGATTTCACGGTAGCCCTGCATTACAGTCGTACTTCTGATTAACAATAAAATGTACCTCTGGAGGCTTATGGGCTGATATCTCCACTAAAACTTTTAAATGAGAAGTTGCAAATTGGGTGTCCATAGGCCAAAATTGGCTCATAGAAGTAATACATTTTTTTGGCCTGGATCATCTTAAATACTTTTTAAATGAGTTGTTAACATTTTAAAAATCAGGTGGGGACTTCCCTGGTGGTCCAGTGGTTAAGACTCCGTGCTTCCGATGCAGGGGGCACGGGTTCGATCCCTGGTCGGGGAACTAAGATCCCACATGCCTTGTGGCGTGGCCAAAAAATACATAAATAAAATAAAAATCAGCTGACTTAACATACAAGCCTAAATTTCCTTGTTCTTCTTGAAATATCAGATGATCTGGAAGAGTGAATCTGCATTCCCAAATGGTTATTCATAGGTGGAACAGAATTGTGGCTCCCTTAGTTGAAGAATGCCCCTTTCAGTTTTCCAAAGTCCCTGCCATGCCCTAGTGTATCCTGTGTGGTATGCTTCACTCATTTATATCCACAGTTTGACCCTTGTAGGCATTTGAGTTTGTAGCCACTGCTTTAGGGGAAGGGGGAAGGAAAGCAGGTCCAGTGATTTTGTTAATAAGCTTTGATCCTGCAGCCTCTTGCTTTGGGAGGGCATGGAGCCTGCTACAAGCACACTTGACACTCTGTGGACCGTTGATTAAAGATGCTGCCTGTCTCACAAAGAAAACTCTTTGGGGCAGAAACTCTGCTGCAAATCTTCATTTAGTTTGTAAGGATAGATAATTTGCCTTTCCTGGGAAGTCTTGAATCTGGCTTTAAAAATGACTTTTTTCCCAACTGACAACCTAGTAATGTGGGGCTCCCTTCTGCAGGCGAGTTCGAACGATGCCCCGACACAGCCAGTCCCTGACCATGGCACCTTACTCATCCGTAAGCCTAGTGGAGCAACTGGAAGACAGGATCCTCTGCCACGAGAAAACCACGGCCGCGCTCGTGGAGCACGCCTTCCGGATCAAAGACGACATTGTCAGCAGCTTGCAGAAAATGCAGAACAAAGGGGGAGGCGACCGCTTGGCCAGGCTTTTCTTGGAGGAGCACATCAGAAACATCACTGCCATAGTGAAGCAACTGAATCGGGATATCGAGGTATGGCATGTGGAAGTGTGGTACATTCCCACAGACAGATCTGCCCCACACCTGATGACCCCTCACAGGCATTTGTGCCATCACACCACAGCCATCTGTCTTGTCCAGTCTTAATGATTGCCAAGGAAACAGCTTGAACAAATATGTTAAGTATATTCCAGTATCTGGTAGCAGTTACTGTCAGTGTTATTTGTGTTTAATCTCTGTGTACCTTGCTGATTACTAAATCACTTTGTTTTGTTTGGCTCTCAATGGAAAGAGAGGAGAACTCGTCAGATAGTTTCCCTGTAAAACCCTTCATGTCGTTGAAGACAGCTATTAAATCAATTACTGGGTCAGCCTTTGCTGCTTCAGATGAAATGTTTCTAGGTCATAATGATTATATATAATACAGTTGATTACTCAGACAATCTGGGGATTGAATTGCTTCTCAGGCTTGCTTTTATTGCTCTATTTTTCTCTGAAATGAGCCCAAGAAAAGGCCAGTATTGTCTATTTTTAGAATTTGTAAATTTACTGCTGTTTATTGAGCAATCACAGGGACCACAGAATTTAATTCAGAAAGCTTAAGATCATTTAGGGCCTGCGCTAACATCACTGAACAATGTCATTATCTTACACATGTAGTTTGAAAATACATGAATAAAAGGTATATGGCTAGATTAAGGAAAACCTTTGTCTTTTGTCATGGAGATAGTATTTTAATTATGCTTCCTGAAATCAAGATTTTTTTTCAGTTTCAGATTTGTATTTATTTATTTTAAGAGCTTTACTGAAGTACAATTTAAAAGCCACAGAAGTCTACCCATTGTAAGTGTACAATTCAATGATTTGTAGTAAATTAATAGAATTGTGCAACCATCAACACAGTTCAGTTATAGAACATTTCAGTCACTCCCCAGATTTCTATCAGCCTGTTTGCGGGTAATCCTTCCTTCTACCCCAGACCCAGGCAGCCACTAGTGTGCTTTCTGTCTCTATAGATAATTTGTCTTTTTCTGGACATTTCATATGAATGGAATCTTACAATATGAAGTCTTTTGCATCCAGCTTCTTTCACTTAGCATAATCTTTTTGAGGTGCAACCATGTTCTAGCAGGTATCTGAAATACTGATGTATTTCGTTTCTCTTTATGTCTGAGTGGTATCCTATTGGACTTCCCTGGTGGCTCAATGGTAAAGAGTCTGCCTGCAATGTGGGAGACCTGGGTTCGATCTCTGGGTTTGATCCCTAGGTCAGGAAGATGCCCTGGAGAAGGAAATGGCGACCCACTCCAGTATTCTTGCCTGGGAAATCCCATGGACAGAGGAGCCTGGCAGGCTACAGTCTGTGGGGTTGCAAGAGTCGGAAATGACTTAGTGACTAAACCTACCTAATAATATCCTATTATATGGATATACAGCTTTCTGTTTTTCCACTTTCAGTTGATCGACATTTGGATTGTTTCCAGTTTTTAGCTGTTGTGACTAAAGGTACTGTGAACCTGTGAACATGTCTTTGTATGGAGATACATTTTAATTTTTCTTTGGTAGATGACTAGGTGTGGAATTGCTAGGTCTTGCAGTAAGCTTATGTTTAACTTTTTAAAATGTAGCCAAACAATTTTCCAAAGTGGCTCTGCCATTTTACAATCCCACCAGGAATGTGTGAGGATTCCAGTTTCCCTACTTCATCCTCAGCACTTGCTATCATCTCTGTTTTTGATTATAGTCATTTTGGTGGCCATGTAGTGGTATTTCATTGTGCTATTAATTTGCATTTCCCTAATAACTAATGATGTTTTCATGTCCTTATTAGTCATTTATGTGTCTTCTTTGGTGAAGTGTCTACCCAAGTCTTCTGCCCATTTTTTAAAATTAGTTTTTATTGTGGTAAGATTTTTATTGTTTTAACCATTTTAAAGCGTGCAGTTTATTGACATTAATTACATTCACAATGTTATATGCAAACCATGACCTCTGTCGATTTTCAAAACTTTTTGATTATCCCAAACAGAAACTCTATTCCCAGTAAACAATAACTCTCCACTGCACTTTCACCTCAGCCCTGGGTAACTTCTATTCTGCTTTCTGTCCCTTTTCTAGGTATATCACATAAGTGCAGTCATACAGTATTTGTCCTTTTGGTCTCGGTCATTTCACTTATCATAATGATTTCCAGATTTATCCATGTTGTAACATTTGTCAGAACCCATTTTTAAATTAGGTTATTTGTTTTATTTTTGAATTGTAAGATTTCTTTGTATATTATAGATACAGGTCCCATATCAGATAGGAGATTTGCAAAATATTTTCTCCCATTCTGTGGCTTCTATTTTCATTCTCCCAGTGGTGTCTTTTGAAGCACAAGTTTTAATGAAGTCCAACTTACAAGTTTTTTTTAAAAAAAGGTTTACGTTTTTGGTGGTGTGTCTTGAGAACTGTTTGCTTAACCCAAGGTCATAAGGCTTTTGTGCTCTGTTTTCTTCAAAAGTTAATTTTAGTTTTTACTTTCAGGTCTGTGAGTTACTTTGAATTAATTTTCATGTATGAAGTGAGGTTAAAGATCTAAGTTAATTTTTTTTTCACATGGATATCCAAGGAAAATCGATCATTTTCCTGTTTGCCCCTTTGTCAAAAATGAATGGATCATAAAATTTAAAGGTTAATTTCTGAAAGCCATTGATTTGTATGGCTTTCCTATGCCAATACCACATTGCCTTAATTTTTAGCTTAAGAGTACGTTTTGAAATCATACAGTGTAAGCCCTCCAACTTTGCTCTTGTCAAAATTGTCTCAGTTATTGTAGGTCCTTTGTATTTCCTTATAAATTTTAGGATTAGCTCCATTAAAAACTCTGCCGAGATTTTGACAGAGATTGCTTTGAATGTATAGATCGGTTTGGGGAGAATTGCTGTGTTAATATTGTCTTCAGTGTTTCAAAGCATCAGCTCTTGGTTTTATTTTTTTCATATTTGCTTTTTTTTTTTTTTCTATTTCATTGCTTTCAACTCTAGGTTGTTTCTGTTTTCTCTGCTTATTTTAGGTTAGTTTGCTTTTCTAGTTTCTTCAGGTAGAAGCTTAGGGAATTGGTTTGAGATCTTTCTTTTCTGATAATGGTGTTGAAAGCCATAATGTGGCCTCTGAGCACTGCTTTGGCTGCTTCCATGAGTTTTAGTATTTTGTGGTTATGTTTTCATTCAATTTAAAGTATCCTAAAATTTACCTTGTGATTTCTTTTTTTAGTACATGTGTTACTTAGAAGTATGTTATTTAATTTCTGAATGTTTGGGGTTTCCCTATATTTAGTGGATATTTTGTGGATTTCTAATTTAATGTGGGCAGAGAACAACTTTGTATATCTTTAATCTCTTTAAATTTATTTAGACTTTTTTAAGAGATTTTTTTGATGTGCATCTTTTTTTTTTTTTTAAGTCTTTCTTGAATTTGTTACAATATTGCTTCTGTTTTATGTTTTGGGTGTTTTGGCTGCAAGGCATGTGAGATCTTAGCTCCCTGACTTGGGATCAAACCTGCACCCCCTGCGTTGAAAGGTGAAGTCTTAACTGCTGGGCCACCAGGGAAGTCCTGAGACTTTTTTTCCAGTTTTTATTGTTGAATTGCCTATTGCTCCTTTTAGTTCTGTCAGTTTTGCTTCAGGAATTTCAGGGCTTTGTTGTTACATGTGTATACATTTATAATGTGTACAGTTTCCTGATACAGTGATTCTTCTGTCATTATAAGATGTCTCTCTTTATCTCTAGCAATATTTCTTGTCTTCAAGTCTGATATTAATATAGCTGTTCCAGCTCTTTATGACTATTGTGTGCATAGTTGATTTCCTTCTTTGAGACGTCTCACTTAGCTTATACCCAAGGGAGAACCTAGAGTACCACATGATTAACAATTTTCACTGTCATTGTAGATTACAGCACACCTTTACTAAGGACAGAGGTTTACTCAGAGTTGTATCCTATTGGAGTACATTTGTCTTCAGGGTTCTAAAATTTCTGGTCTATGTTTGTTTTGATGTTTAAAGAAAAGGACCATGTGTTTTTTTTATAAGGGGATGGAGTTGATCTTTGTTGCTTTGGTGACTGATGGCATCCATTTCAATTTCATTGGATCATAGCATTTTATTTTCCCTTTGGAGTTTACCTTTATTCCATTGCATACAGGCTAAGATGGCTGTTAATCAGAGTGCCTTATCATATTTTTAGATAATAAGGACTGGAGTCCGTAACACAGACCAGAGCATTGAGACTCTCACTTCCTGGAGTCTGAAACCTGAACAGAGTGTTCCAAGGACATGAGTATCTTTCCAGCAGCTGTACCTGTAGGATGCTAGGTAGTGGTCCTACTGCCTGGACCCTAGGAGTTGCCTTTTGTGTCTTTTTTTCAGTCTGGATCCCAAGCTGCCCTGTTGATTGTATGCACTTCTCCCCTATAGCCTTCCAGTAAATTCCAGATTTTTCACCTAAGCCAGAATCAGGTTCAGTTGCTGGCAGCCAAAGAACTCTAATGGTATCCAAGAGGCATAGAACATGTAAGAGATTGCTGCAGATAATTTACTTGTTTTCAGAAAGTGGTGTCTATATTTAGAATGATCTTTCCAGTATTATATTTGAGTGCTAAAGCAGTTTTATCCCTGAGTCTGAATAATTTGGCAGGCCCAAGTTGGCATCTTCTCAAGATTGAAGAACCCCAACTTAAACATTTCCATTTTGAAGAGAGAGATATATTAGGAGGCTGATTGCCCTGCTGTACTCCATTCTATAAAGGGTGATGGATAAAATCAGAGTGATTGTGGAGAAACAATGATGCTCAGATCCCTGATCCTTCTACCAGTGGTGAGAAATGTGTCGCAAAAAATTGCAAACCCTCATGTTTCATGTTAGAAGATGGTGTGACCTCCCCATTCTTCCCACACCCCTCATTTTGCTGTGGGTACTCTGCTTGGTTATCTTTGCTTATGTGGGTGGTGGACAGACCAGAGACTGGAAACCATCCATTCTGCAGAG